GAGAGAGAGACAGACAGAGAGAGAGAGAGAGGGAGACAGAGAGAGAGAGACAGACAGAGAGAGAGGGAGACAGAGAGACAGACAGAGAGAGAGAGGGAGACAGAGAGAGAGAGACAGCTCTACAATACAAACTATACAAAGTTAAAAGTTTTCATATTTTAAAGTGAACTTGCAGGATGATGCTCTGATGTTATTCGATGGTTTCACGTTGAAGACAAATCATTTATTTCTGTCCAGCTCAAAGTTGCAGTGAAATATTTAATATAATGAATGATGAAGTGTTTGTCTTCGTTTTGTTCTTTCAGGACATTGATGACGTTCAGGTTCATTATCCAGGAATCACTGAGGTCATGACGGATTTACAAGGTATCACAACATGGAGGAATCAAACGTTCATCAAACACGGGTTAGGGTTAACTGACCTCTGGTTTACTCCTGTGACGTTCAGGGATGGGAGAGAGCAACTGTGCCTGGAACAGGAAGTCGCTGCTGCACCGAGACTCCATTTTAGCAGCAGCTGCCGTTTATAAAGGTGAGTCTGTAACAGAGACACAAAGTATATAATATATATCTAATGTATATACATGTGTATACACATCATATATACTGTGTGAATCCTGATCCTGAACTCGTCTCAGTTCTGGACACAGAATCATGTTTGTGACCTGAATCGTCGGCCTGTTCCTTTGACCTCGTCTGTTGTGAAATGTTTCAGAGATGTATGGGAATGAGGACGGCTCTGTTCCTGCCACCTTTGAGATCCTCTACATGATTGGCTGGAAGCCTCATGAGTCACAGGTGAGACAGGACGGGTGACGTCCAGATACTGAAGCAGTTTAACACCGTTCACTCCCTGATCGATGGATTGAGTCTGTACTCGGTGTCAAATGTTGATTTTTCTTTCTCAGGCCAAACCGGTGAAGCGAGGATCAGCCACCGCATCCTTCGGGGATTTGTCAAAGATCAGACGGCCGAACCAGACGGATGAGTCGTAGAGGAGGAGCTCAGCTCATTACAGACTTTACTGAGTTAACCAGGTTCACAATAAACTGTTGGAGTAATGTCAGGAATAAAGCTGAGTCATGAAAACAGAGAACGCTGTTGTTATTGACAGGAAATGAACCAATGAGGAGCTGACGCCGTCGGTGACACACTCTGCTGTTGCTATGGTTTCACCTGGAGAAGGTCACTCTGACCTCACGAAACAAAAACATTATGACACTACTGTCACCGGGTGATGTGTTAGAATCCAAAAGGTCAAAGGTCAACTTCAGTGTGATGTCACAGCTGAGGCTCCTCCCTCCATTCCTGAGCTGACAGATCCCAGGATTCATTGCCTGCCAACGAGCAGCAGCTCAAATTAGCTAAAAATAATAATGGAATGGTAAGAGAAGCTAATAATGTAAACAGGAAGTGACCGCACCATCTCACGTCCGCTCGAACTTTGAAGAAGAACTATGACTCACGACCAAAGTTCCTCTCAGACTAAAAACAGACGTTGATGTCTTCCTGTCTTCTGTGGAACTCGTCCTCCGGCTGCAGACATGTTGTTCGTCCTCTGTCTTCTCTTCACTGGAGGAAACTGTCCAAACGTCCCTGGTAAGAAAAACAGTTCATCAGAATAATAATAACATTTATGGATGAATGGAGCTTTTACAGATTTGTTCTCTACCTACAATCAGGATTCACTGTCACTGGTCAGGGCCTCAGTGGTTTCACTTTATTGTCCAGTTTGTTGTTTAGATGCAGCTCCAGAAATAAAGAACGTGTCAAGAACATGTCAGGGACATGTAGAACATGTCAGGGACACGTCTGGAACATGTCAGGGACATGTAGAACATGTCAGGGACATGTAGAACATGTGAAGGACATGTAGAACATGTCAGCTGCTCAGTTGATGTGTGAAAAGGGTTTTCTTGTGTTGGTCACACTTGATATCGTGTGTTTACAGACGTTAGGAAAACGATGGTGCAGCTGAACTCTGTGGCGACGCTGCCTTGTCCACACGCAGCAGGAGACGTGTCGTGGACCCGCCTCATAAACGGAGATCACGTGATTCTTGTCACCATCACAAACGGACAGGAGGACAGACGAGACAAGCGCTGTGGTTCCCTGGTCGATAAATCGTTGGTCATCTTCAACGTCCGGAGCTCTGACTCTGCTTGGTACTTCTGCAACAGAAGACCGACAGCGTATCTGGAGGTGACCACGGATCTGACCGTCACACCAGGACACGACAGACCGGGGTTTGTCCTCGAAACCGACCACAGCGGGACAGACTCAGAGGACAGACAGTCTGACCTGTGGAAAATACTCGTGGGTGTGGTCATTGGTGCAGCTCTGGTGCTTTTGGTCTTTACCTTGAGATTGTGTTTAGGAAGGCGAGCAGACAGAAACAGAGACACACCTGAAGCTGAGGTGATCTACGAGGACATCAGACCACCGGATGGTGACACTCCGTACAACTGGTCCAGTGTCACCGAGGCATCAAACTGGACCGTGTCCAGCACGGTGAACGAGCTGAAGGTTAAAGGTCGCTGCACTGACACTGAGTGTGTTTATTCATTTGTCCAGAATCCACCACAGACAGGAAACGACCAGGATCCACACACACATCTGGAAAACATCAGCGTTATTCACCTCTGATTGGACCGATGCAAAGTGTTGTTATTTCTGTCACTGACGAGGCTTTAAATTCTTTGACAAAGTTCAGACACTGAAACTGACCCGTGTTTTTATGTCCTCTGACATCAGTCCTGAACAACGAGTCTGAAGCTAAATGATAGAATTGATCGTACGAGTCCAGTGTTTACGGAAATTCAACCTTGTTTTAATTTCTATCCTGATATTGACGCTGTTTTCACGAACTTCTCTTTATCTCCATGAAATCTCCTTTTTTCAGTTCTTATTGTTTTAAGCTCCCTCATCTTCATTCTGTGTTTTGATCTAAAGCACCGTATGCTGTATCAATAAAGTTTATTCTAATTGACTACTAAAACGATTCTGTGAATAATTTTATGCTCAGATCATCTTTAACTGATGAAATCATCCGAAATGATTTCATGGTCCATGATGACAGGTTTTTATTGATCAGACACCACAGGGAAGTTTAAGGACTACACAAAATACTCTGTTCCCAATAAATACAGACGAGCAGAATACTGGGTTTGTTGTCACAGAGTAAAATATTAATATGAAGGAAAGAACAGCAGAACCCAGTTTATACAGTTTATACTTCACAGTGCACAGAGATTAAGACGAGGTTATTCAGACTCACACTGTTCAGACGACATCACAAACAGAAGTCAGGTTCACGTGGATCCACTGAGCGATGAAAAGAACCATCAGAACCATCTTTGATCCAGGAGAGTTCTGGACGGACAAACAGACACGTCCAGGTGAAGATCAGGAACACAGCATCACTGAAAGTCCTCCATCAGTGTGAACGTGAACAAACTGTGGAACCAACTGGAACAAACTGTGGAACATCAGAAAGAGAAGCAGGAGACGAGTCGAGCCCAACGAATCTGTTCAGTGTCGACGGAGGAAAATATAAAGTTTGAGTTTTCAAAGAAACTGGATCAATGAACAGGATTACATTTTTTATTTGTATATTTTTAATTGTGTATTTCCGCAGACCCAACATTCTGGATCACCTCCAGCACAGCAGGTGGCGGTAGTGCGCCTTCAACGTTAACTCGCCATTAAACAAGAAGAAGAAGGTCACGTGACAATGTTGTCATGGTAGCGGAGAAGCAACAGTTAGCCGTTAGCTTACAGTTAGCAGTAGCGTTAGCTGCATCAAAGGAGTTCCTTCACACATCAGTTTCTCTTGACACCGGAAGTGGCTCTACGAGCTCCCAGCAGCTGCGATGGTGACGAAGGTTTCCGTTCCTTCATGATGCATTAGCGCATGTTAGCTTAGCATCAGCGTTTCAACGTCTTTGTTTGTTTCCAGGCACCGAAGAGTAAGAAGCCCGGGAAGATGAAGACATCTGCGGTGGTGGACAGTCTGTCCACGGAGGACATGTCCAAGGACCAGGTCACAGCGATGCTAA